AGAATGTAGGTGAAAGCATTTCATAAACTGGGCACCTGGCTGGCTCAGTTGGTTAAGCATCTGCCTTCTGCTCAGGTCATGATCCTGGAGTCATGGGATTGAATCCCGCATTGGGCTCCCTGCTCAGCCGGGAGTCTGCTTCTCCCTCTGACCCTCCCTGCTTCTGCTCTCTCTCGCTGCCTCTCAAATAATAAAAGTAAATAAAATCTTAAAAAAAAAAAAGCATTTCATAAACTAAGGAAACACATCATCCTCCAGAAGATAAAACATCTTTCTATGAAGAATATTTTGAAAAGTCAGATTTGAATTCAACACTGATCACAAATAAGAGAATAATTATCTGGAAGTCATAAGCTAGGATAGTTTCCTTTCTGTATAAATTCAGTTCAGATTGGTAGTTAAGACATAGTTTGGATGTTAGAGATACAATTTAAAAAAATGACTCAATATGACCCCAATGTGTCATGTTCAAACATGAGGATTTAGGATCCTACAGTAATATCGGGCCCATTTGGTAGGAACAGAAAGCATCTTTGGTCATTTACTATTTGGCTGAGATTGTGGATAGGTATGAGAAAGGAAGTGATTATGTTGCAAAGAAATGGGTAAGAGCGTGTATCGGATATATATATATAGACATTTGTCATGCTCAAGTGTCTTTAATGCTCATTCTGCCCAAAGAAGTAAGTGGTGAGGTCCATTCTTTAGATGGGGTGTGACAATTATAGTGATTAAAGGACTTGCTCGAAGTCATAGCGCCGAAGGGGCAGAGCTGGTACGAAGACTCTCAACCAACTTCAAGGTCCTTGTTCCTTTCACCCCACCGTGCTGCCATGTGGGCTCTGAAGTGAGTCAATGCTTAGCCCCCATGCTTGTGCGCTTCCGGGTTCCTTGTCCCGGTTTCATACCAAATCTCAATTGTTGTTCTTCCAGAGAACTTGTACAGAAAGCTTCTGACAAGACTTGATGAGATGCTATAGCTGACCAGCATATGAAAAAGAATTAACGAGTTCTGGAATGAGCAGTTAAATTCCTGGATTGTTGAAAGTTCCATTCTTTACATGGGACTAACCATTTTTTGTGAGGTAATTACAGGAATGCTGGCGAACTCTTTCCATTAGTGGTTCTTGCATACAGTATGCATTTCTTATGTTGTGGGGGCTCTTTTTTTTTGTTGTTGTTCACAATTCACCTTAGGGGTTTTCTCAAACTTTGCATTCTTATTCTATAGTGGTTTTTAGCTTTCTTTTTTCTTTCCAGGCTGGGTGGATGATGCAGTTTCACTTCTAGGTGTTAGGATTCTCTTTCACACTGGTTTGTCATGACCTTAAAGTATTTTAAGTTTCTCCTTTGGTAAATTTTTCTCTTTAAAATGTGGTACCCCCAGTAAGCTAGAGATTTGTTTTACCAAGTGAGCTTAAAATACCAGCACCTGGAGAACCCATAATCCGTAAGCATTGTTGGGAGTTGACCACATGTCAAAACCCCCGAGGGATCGACCTTTTTATTTTCTTTATTTTGGCAGGTTTTGGGGGTCCACACTTAAAGGCTAGGTATGGTTCTGAATTGTCATTAGGTTGCAAGAATTACCAATGTGGTATATATTGCCAAAGAAGAAAAAAAAAGTTATGATAATCATAATTGTCTTAATTTATATTTGCCATCATAGCTCTCCCCTGTAGATAACTGATGAGGCCTAATAGTCGTTTTGAGCTGCAACCACCCACAAAAACCACACACATGGCATTTTACTCAAAGCTTTACTTTAACCACTACTTTGTGATGCAAAACTGGTGGAATTTTGGGTACTTTCTGTAAAATTGAAATCTTTATGGGGGTTTTCCAACACTCTAGTTGATTGTTAGCAAATTATCAGTATACTGAACAAGAGCAAAGTGGGGTTTGCTAATAAACACCTACTTCTGTGGTAGGATAGGATGCCAGTCATCTGTATCTGAATGTTTTCACTAGGAGGAAGCCACCCTCATTGAGAGAACAGATTCTCCTGAAAAATGCAGTTAAGTAAGAAGTATTCTATGAGATTGGTAGTTGTAAAAGAGAGATTTTAGGAGCTGCTTATCTTTGCCACAGTTTTCAGTCTTGGCAAAGTAGTCATATTCAATACTTTCTAATTTGTAGATCCCTTATAAAAATAGATTTGTAAAGAAAAGCGAATCGATATGCATCATAGGACAAAGAGTAATTCTCCCTAAGCGCTTTCTGTGAAGGGAGAACTCTTGTGGAAAACTGATTTCTCATGAGATATTACAGTCCCATTCTGGAAGACAGGTGGTAAGTGGGAAGAATGCTCTCTGTATTTGGCTAAGTCAGGAGACCTTTGTTTATTCTGGAACCGAGTCCTTAGGCCAGTTGCTTTACCTCTGTAAGTCTCAAGTTTCTTTTCTCTCTTTTTTTCTTAATCTCTATGTCCAACATGGGGCTCGAACTCATGACCCCAAGATCAAGAATCGCATGCTCTACCACCAGAGCCAGCCAAGTGCCCCTCTAAGTCTCTCAATTTCTTATCTTTGAAATGAGTTTCACTCCTGCTGTATGGTTTGGTAGATACAGCATATTGTCTCAAAAGCCTTCTGTAGGAGCTCTTTGTAATATCCTGTCTTCTATAAAAGTGACTTTTACTGTCATATAATTTACACCTTCTATCAAGTACCTATTCTGTCCTTTAAAATCTGTAAAAACATTAGCAAAAACCAACTCTACTTCTAGAAGTATGTAGTTATGCCCCTTTTGTATTTAGTATTTTTGAAGGAGTAAATTTCCATCTATGCAGCCCAGAAGTCTGCCTTAAAATAACTGTCAGAAATTTCCAGGCTATTTCTCATTCATGCATTATCATGTTCAGTTAGGAGGATAGTAGACCATCCTCAGTAGGAGGATAGTAGACCATCCTCAGGAGGAGGATAGAGAAATCTAGAATTAAATTTTTAACAGGTTAATTCCTTAGTTTACTGTGAAGATCTTGATAATTTCCCACTAGCACATAAGTAAAGCTTTTAGTTTGCTCTACTGCATAGATTGTTGGTTAGCTTCCAGAAATAAAGTATGCTTGCTTTATAATTTATGTTAGGAAATATTTAAACAGGATGAAAGAGCAGTTTTTACAGGACCCAAATCAAGCAATCCATTTTCAGAAAGTACAACCAAATAAAAAAATTGGCTGAGTGAAGAACAATGAATAAGAAGCATGAACTTGGAAACAAAACAATTAAGTTGAATCAAATTTTTAAAGAATGAAATAAAAGAAGTTGTATTTTGTATGTGTGTGGGGTGAGTAGAGACAGATATAGTACTAAGAAAAACTGGATGGAATAGCATTTAAAGCAAAGAGTAGAAGCTTTCTTTGTGGGGGAAAAGAAGGTTTATCAGTACGCAGTTTTATATACAGAAGTAGCAAAGGGCAAGATATTATAAATGTTAGAAAAGTGGAATGGAATTTCCCAGATCCTTTGATTTCACAAATGGTTTAGTTAAGGAAATTGGTAAAATCTGGAATTTTGGATTGGTGCTACAGCAAACTTTTAAATAAAGCCAGGGGCACCTGGGTGGCTCAGTTGTTAAGCGTCTGCCTTCGGCTCAGGTCATGATCTCAGGGTCCTGGGATCAAGCCCCGCATCGGGCTCCCTGCTCAGCGGAAAGCCTGCTTCTCCCTCTCCCACTCCCCCTGCTGGGATTTCCCTCTCTAGCTGTGTCTCTCTGTCAAATAAATAAATAAAATCTCAAAAAAAAAAAAAAATAAAGCCAAAAAGACTTTCTTGCATATTAGCATTCTATTACCACATTTGTTACTCAGCCTGATAATACCAGGCAACTTTGAAGGCGATGTGGACCTCTATCCTTGAAATAGAAGTGTTTGAAAAAGCAACGTCTGGAGAAAGGTGAAATCACAATTACACATCAAAGGCTATAGAAGTTTTGACTTCAGATTTTATGTTTCAATTATACTAGCTTTGTGTTCACACCCAAACTCCAAGGGTAGGATCTGCCACATACAGGGTGGAGTGGCATTCCAATTCTATTTATTTTCTGCTGAAGCTGGCAAATTGAATGAAGATATATATCTTAAGTGACAGGATTCAGATGAAACATGACAAACCTGTAAACGCTGCAACCTGGACAAGTCAATGCAGAACTTTCCAGTGAACTGGATGGGACTGGGGAGACAGACCACACAAACCACACACACACTGCCATGCCGTGCTGGGCAGCACGAGAGATCAAAGAGAAACCCGAGGAGGAGCAAGTCCTTGCTGGCTCAAGCGCAGGTGGTGGGCTTCAGCAGAGATTTACAGGTTCAAGTGTGCGTCTATCTTGGGCTTGCCTTACTACGGAAAAATACGGAGATACACTGCATTGACTGGAAAATTATTCATTTGTTTTTTTAAGTTATCAAATTTATAACGTAGAAGCCCTGGTTATGAAACTAGTCATTTAACTGGAACTCAATCCTGACCTAGTTCCCAACGTTGGGTGGTAATTCGTCTTTACCAAAGCACAGAGAGAATCAGTGTTAAAAGAGCAAGCGGGCAGGCACTGCTTTGAGAAGGGAACAAGTTTTACTACCTCTGGATAAACTAGTAAGCTCTGTGAAACATTTTTGACAGTCTTGCTGAAGGCCTCCAACCGCTGGACACGAAGGAAAACAAACAGCAACTGTTTTACTGCAGACAGCAAGTCAGAGCCCCCCAGTCCCAGGAAAGCCCAGGAGGCCAGAGCCTCAGTAGAGCCCACCCCCGACTTTCCCTCGGCGTGCCCTGGTGCTCGTTGCTCAGGACAGTCTGCTTGGCAGCCGCTTATCTAGAAAAATGAATGAACGTCGTATTAAACACTCCCTGATCACTCGCTAATCAGGTAAGAATTTTCAGAATTAATCTGGTAACCAAACCAGTTGCACTTTAAATTGGTCCCAAGGAAAATAATTGGAACAGCTGTTAAGACACAAAGAAATGCCAAAATGAAAGCCACCAGTCTACCACTGTATATTATTCTGCATCATTAAATATTTATTTTCATATATGCATTTACAAACTTTACTCATTTCAGAACTCTGCTTTCAGTACATTTTTAAACTTTTTTTTTTGCAGAGATTCTCTTGTAAAATGAGATCCATGTACAAAACTAGGCAACAGATATAAAAGTTTCCTTTCATACTTTTCATCCATCAAGGAAAGAAATCATGTGACAAGGAAATAAAACCAAAATGTGGCTCTTTCACAAGAATAACATGTCAGTGTTCAACTATGAGTTCTAATGGGATAGATCATATTTCATCTTTATATGGATGTATATAGTTTAAATACTTCTTAGCTACTGTAGCATGTTGGTTCAGATGAAGAAAAAAAATCAACTCTACTGTTTGGACTAGATAATCTAGACACCCTCAGTTATTCGTTTCTTTATCCCGTGACACCAGAATTCACCTTGGCGATGACACTGATTGGCCAGCAGTATGCATTTATTCCAAACGTTGCATAAAAAGTTCCCTTTCAAAAATTCATTAACTTCACAAGCTAAAGTCTGAGCTTCTTCTAATTTAGCTCTCTTACTTAAAGCTTAAATGATCAGTTCAGAAGCTTAAGGTTATCTTTGAAACTAAAGTTGCTTTTCTTACAATGAATGCTGACTCGGAGCACTGTCACTATGAGACAGAGGCACTAATGCCGCCAGCACTGAGAAACAGTATCACCACAGACAAAGATATGGTACAAAATGCCCAGGGGCCGGAAACTCACTATTCATGTGATTTTGGCAGCAGCAGCATTTGATATTTAACCATTTATTACATAGTATTAACACACCAGCTTCAAAGATGTGCACTCCCTTTAGGACACCCAGGAGTTACAAATTCATTGTGATTGCATAATTCGTATTGCACAGTTTTATAAAAAACATAAATACTGGCTATTCTAGTTTTAAATACAAAATACAGGTCATATACTTTTAAATCTATAATCTGGTTCAAGTGCAAATCAGGTGCTTTCTTTAGTCCTTCCAAAAAAGGCATTTTTAATATTTTTGGCACAAATGAAATTTCATCATGCCAACAATTCTAATTACAATACATATATCCAAACCTTTAGAGTAGCAATGATATACATACAGTATAAAACTGATTATTTACAAATGTACTAGGCATTAATGTCATCTTTGTGGGTGAATCAGAACTAAGTAGCCATACCCACACTAATAATAATTAGAAAAGGTACAGGAGATTCCTTTATTTCATTTGCTTATGCTGGTTGCTGTGGGTTGACATTCATATGAGGAGGATGTCCTAGAAGACCAATTCTTTGTTTCTGCTTCCTTTGTTCTGTCATCTGGAAAGTTAAAAAGTTTCATCATTAGACCCAGACACTTCCTGTACGTCAGATCATACACTGAACCATAGATTTACCTCTGTGGTTATGGTTTATACTGAAACCCACTTTCTACAAATAGTGTACCGTCACTAAATCAAACACACAGAACTTCAAAAGGGACATCTTCCTAGGCAGAATGGGGAATTCTGTGACCTAGTCATGCAATGTGGCATTCACAAGTATTGCTTACTATTTGTTTCATAAAGAAACAAAAAACAGTAAAAGCACAGGATTCTTGATTGTTTCTCAAATCCATTTCCAAATGATTTAAAGGCTCATTGGAAAATGGTGGCTTTGTGTGGTGGTAACAGCACACCAGACTATCAAGAAAAGCAGTGTGTTTAGAATCCTAGGTTTGAGAGGGACTATGTCCATGGTCTTCAGGGGGTCCTGATTTCATTAGTCAATAATTCCAGAGTAATTCTGGTTTGAGAGGGAAAAAAAATGTAGTACCTTGAGGAAGATGAGGAATGTCCTCACATGTCACTGAGATCCAGAGAGACTAAATGCCATAAACAATGCTCTAGGCACTCAGTGGGGTCTGTTCTTTGCCACCCACAGATGCAGGACTGATTAAGCTCAGGAAAGACCATTTCCTAAGACTGGTCAAATGAAAACGTGCTTTCAAAACCCCACACAAGAGGTTGCTACTATTCATTTGGCTGCTGAACTAAATCACTTCTCATATTGATGGGTAGCTAGCTCTGTTCTAGTTTTTTTAGGGCACATTTAGTTCTCTGCATTAACATTTTCTTAACCAGTTGGTCCTAGCTCTGGATTTGATGCTGGGCATTTAAGCCAATTAAGATTAAAAAGGCTACGATGAAATATATATTAGATAAAATTGTTGTCTACAAGTGGCCATAGGTCCTGCATGTAGATCTTTGGTTTTCTTAAGTCAGAGAGGAATTAGGGTGTCCTGGTAAAAAGAACGTGGGCTTTGGAATCAGACCCATTTCCTTATGTTTCTATGTTATTTAGCTTCTCAAAGTCTGTTTCTTCACTCACACAATAAGGATGATGATTCCTATCTCATAGGTGGAGAATTGAACAGATATATGTAAACTTCTTGGGAGAGTGTCACACAGATGCTTGAATCTGTTTTCCCTTGGACTAATTTTTGGTACAAAATATCCTGAGAGAACATAAAACAAGAATAGCTTACCTAGGTTCAATTTTTAAAGTGGTTACTTATTCAAAACATGGCAGTTTTCTTTTAAATCAAAATAGTATTTTTAGGCTCCTGTGAAGTGCCTTCTGTTAGAATTTACAAGGAGTGAACATTTCCAAAAGGTAGCTTTTTATAAAGAATTGAACTAGGGTATTCCAGCTAGCCTCTGAAGTTTCCTTAGATGAATGACAAATCTTAAGTGTTACACACTACACTATACTTCACAGATTCAGCTGAGAAAAGAACCTAATTTGACATGTGGGATAAATGCACAATTAGATTACAGTGTAATCTATAATTCATTAATCTTACTGCCTGCTACTTCAGATATTTAGATTTCCTCCTCCCTTCCCCAACTGACGGACACACACAGGGACACACACACACACACTCACTCACTCTCTCTCTCTCTCTTCCCCTGGCAGTTAACCCTGAGAGGGAATCCAGTACAACTTCACGAAGTCTAACAATCTCAAGCATTCTAATGGATTTAGGAATCCTGGGGGGGCTCAATTCCTACTGAAGGCTACTTTAAAGTTGGCTATTATACCCTTTTCTGTAATTTTTCTATAAATAACTACTTGCATTTGAGATAACCTTTTATGTTTGCAAATGTTCATGCCTGTTGGTTCAATCAGCTTTTAACTTTAAATCTGTTGGCTATTCAGTCATTCTCTTAAATAGAAAAGCCTCTACACTGTATTTCCTATAACCAACGAGAGTTCAGCTGATGGCACACCTCCCTTCCCACTTCTGCAGCCATCACCTGATACCTCATTGCTGCTCCTATTCTAACTTTCTAGGTTTGCCTTTAAGATAATGATCACATCACCCCCCTCCCTCCTAAACCTTCAAACTCCCTACTCATGTAGGTTAGTGGCCATATTCTTTTCTCAGGCAGTCCTATTTCTGGTCATTTCAAGTACCCAGTGCATACCTATCTCATTAATTTTGTTTTCTATTTCTGTAGAATAGTGGTTCTTCAACTTTGGCATAAGCCAGAATCACACAGAACGTTTGTTAAAACAGATCAAAGGGCCCACAAACAGAGTTTCTGATTCAGTAGGCCTGGGGTAGGGCCCATGAATTTGCATTTCTAACAAGTCACAAGTGAGGTTTATGTTGCTGCTCTGGGACCACAGTGCTGCTCTAGAAGAACTTTTCATGGAGTCTCTCTAAAATGGGTCAAAGATCACTTCAGGTGTATTTTCATATTCTTGAACACAAAGTATTTTGGGTACATATATCATTTTTCTCTAAGATATTGGAGAAGATTATAGCTGAGCACAGTAGAGGCACACACATTTGTCTGAATTCTGTTTTCATCAACCCTGGCCTTTTAGAATAGCTGTCATTTAAGTGACTAATTGAGAAGGAATAGGGCAACTGCTAAAGGATTTGGCCCTTTTGATAGTGGTCATCATCCAGTTATGATTATAAGGGAACAAAAAAGCCGTAAGGCCTAAATCTGGCCTATAAAAACTCAAGGTCAACACTGTGGCCAGTTAGGTTTCCCTGGCCCACTAGTGCACAGTCTCACATAACTTCTGGCTTTATGGGCTCAATTCTACCTACTTACCTATCTACATAATTCACACACAAACTGTGTATAAAATATGCGTCTGTGTGTGTGTAAATTCTTAAAGTGTATTACCTGTTGCTGTTACCTTTATCAAAGCAAATAAATATAATGACCAAAGTGAATCTTTATATTCTCACATAGTTTTGTTTCAAATGTCAGAGAATACTGACTCAAAAAGATCAGATTCTGATCTAAGGTAACTATATTCAAAATATGAATACTGAAAAGTCTGTTTCATTTAAAATCCTCAAAATTCCCATTTAACTAAAGGATAAACATTTGAAGCAGTACTCTTCTATCTGTATAAATATAAAAACTAGCTTGAATATTAGCATTCCTTCTTTTGACTGAGTCTAAACAAGAAGCAAAGAATATTGTAGCTTTACAAATCAGATGCAGCCAAATGTCGGAAAGATCTTTCGTGACAACGCTAAGGGTAGAGAGCACATGAGCACATTTCACCTCCCAGTTCTGGCCTCAATGACAGAAGGCTGGCAAAGGAAGGACCGCTCAACAGCAGCACATGGATGCCACGATCTGGTTTCTAACGGATCAAGAGTCCGAAAAACTGCTCTCCTGTCACAGCAAGGTCTTGGTTACTCAGATTCTAAAGAGCTGGGAAACTAAAATCAGCCATGTTTCTAACAATGAGCCTAAAATACTAAGAAAAAAACCCAACACAACTCTCAGACACACGTTGATTTAATGTCAACGTGTAGATACTTGTTCACACTCTGAGCTAATCCCTAATATTCTGTTCCTCTGTTTCACCTGATAGACTCTTCCTCAAACTCTGAACTCAAGCTCTTGCAGTACTGCCTCTGAGGCTTCTGTGGCATAACGAATTCTCTCCCAGAGATCAAGTTGACTGAATTGCTTTCCTTCTTTCCCAGTCTGTTCATACCTCCATTACATACTTACAGGGTTGAATTCTCAGTTAGCGGTTTACTGATTTGTTTCCCTCTGTTAGGTGTAGAAAGAGAACAGGTTCTATTCACCTTTGTAACCCCAGTCCCTAGGGCTGCACCTTGCACACTGATTTCACAAGTGGTGGTTCAAAGAACGAACCAAATTAACCAGAACATAATAGTGCCATTCCTGGAGCATGCCATGCGTTCTCATGCCTTTGCTCATGCTGATTCCTCACCTGGGATGCCCCCTGTGCATTCCTCTGCCAGCTCAGAAGTCACCTACTTGTACAGGCTCTAATCCTTCCTTACCCCAAGCCACACACAGGACTAAATGCCGCCTCCTCTGTGCTCCCATCAAGCAGTCTTCATGTCTTGAGTGGGTTGTACAACTTTCCACACTGTATCATACTGTCAGAGGTCTATATTCCTGTCTTTCTTGCTAGATTATGGGACCCTAGAGGCAGTGGTTACATTAGTCCCCCTTTGAGGTTCCAGAACAGGGTAAGGAACAGAGGCACTCAGTAAGGTTTAATATTCCATTTTCCAACTGTAGGCATTTATTCTAATCTTTTGTTATTCCTCCCTTCCTTAAGCAGTTAATGTTCACAAGATAACCGTCTCGCACGAAAAGTGCCAAACCAGGAACATGCTAATGTGATCTGAATTTTCAAGCACTGTTCGTATTCCTAACACATAAGGGTTACTGTCCCATGGGAAGCCAGTCACATTTTCAATAAAGTGAAGCCTCTTCGATATTTGCTCTTTTGCATTATGAAGAAAACATGCAAAAAAAAATGTAGGTTCTTACATCAGTTCTCCTCCTTGGAATAAGAATGTTAAGAGAATCACATTTAGTATTCGGAATCTCTTAGGAGGGGAAACTTTAAGATGAGATGCATCATTAACACTTAGAATAGCAATTCTAATCAACTGTTCTTGGCAGTAGTAGGAAAAGTGACACCACCAACCAGGTTTTTAACTTTGATCCTTCACAAGAACTTTTTCTCCTCAAATTGGTATTTTAAGAAAACAACTACCGAAGAGGTCAGTAGCAGTACAGGTCAAAACCAAAGACATTCACATTTATAAACTATCATTGCTCCATTATGCTGCTTTTTGGACCAGAAGATCGAAAAAAATAGCTCAGTGATGAAGCAATTTTTGTGTTTCCCAGCACTTTTACCAGTGAATGGTATTCTTTCATAGCAGTTTTAAAAACAGAGTTTCTTGCTCACTAATCATTTGTCGGCTTTTATTTTTTAATTCAAAAAATTTTTTTCTTGGGGGAAGGCAGGAATTCTTACAATTGCCATTTAAGAACCAGCAACTCTCTAACATATCTGCATGATTTTTTATGCAGAACAATTTAAAAAATTTTTATGATTGCTATTACACCAAATTTAATAAAATTCCCCCAAATTTTCGGTACGTTGATTCTTAAACAAATGGCCTTAAAGGTTTGTCAAAAGTTACATAATCAAAAGAAAAATGTTGATTAATTCCTTTGGAAAGAAACACATTTCCCCAATAAATGCAGCTGTGCTGAATTTCTCCTGAGCACCTTAAAACCTAAGCAGATCAATCCTGGTAAAGACACTTGAGAATATATTACTGGTTTCCTCATACTTCTTTTTAGCTTATAGTGTCTTCCAAGAAAAAATGGTTCATATTCATTCATAGGGGAAGGGCTTTTGGTCCAACTGCCAACATTAAGACAAAAAATATTAAAAGGGCCGAAACCAAGCAGTTTAAACCATACTGGCTTTAATGTCACTTAATGAACCCTAGGTCCCTATGTAATGAAGTTTTACGTATTTTGTTTAAGCCGAAATTTAGGCTTAATGGAAACAATTCTACCTTGGATTTTAAAAATGCCAAGTTTCTACTATGCATAGCTGCGTAAAATGGCAGTGAAGGTATCCTCCACAGCGCTCAAGTGTGGGAGGCAACTTTGGAAACTTTAAGGCTCTTTAAAAAAAAAAATTGTAAGAATTTAAACAGCCAACCTGAAAGGCAAACCGGGTACAGTGACAAAACAAATGAAAACAAAAATACATATGACATACAAAAATCAAACCCACACGGGAGGATCAGGAGTTGCATCCCTGGCACTGTCCTAGAGAGTTCGGGAAGCTTCTTAGGAGCCTTCTGTGCACCTTGGTACCCTCATCAATACAATGAGGGAGTGAGGCGGGAGGACCTCTGTGGTCCTGGATGCCCTCCTGCACCTCAGAAGCCCCCTGCGAATTCCTCAGCTCACCTTGCTCCTGTGACCATTTTAATGGGAGCTCAACAGTTCCTTTATTGAAGTCTGTCTTAGATCAGTTTCTGGAAGGTTTTTGAAAACCTCGGATTTGACTAAGATTCTTGTCACCACAGCCCTCTCCAAAGGGAGATGGTAACTAAGACGTTGCTGGACGTGGTAAGAAGTCCCCCTGGCTCCGCAGAGGGGCACATGGAAGCCGCGGCAGCAGTGCTCCGCAAGCCGTTCAGTTCTCTGGAACATTTGTCAAGTGTGTCACAGAAGGGTACAGAGTTAATAAAATAAGAAGCAAAGCAATCTAGTTAGATTCTCATTAGTTTTTTCACTTCAGGTGGCCACCAAGCTCAGCGCTAGAGATAGCCCTTATAAATAAGCCTTGCGGTTGTCCTTAGTCTCTTTTATTTGCATCTTAACACAAGTTAAAGAAAAGAACTTGGAGGCCAAATGGTATATCTGGGGGCATAGTCTGTAATAATTTAGTTGGAAAAGAAATATAATTCAAAGTAGGATCGTTACAATCGCTCTATAGACTGTCGCCAAGAAGAGTTTATTCTAGATGGGGTGTTCACTGGCTATGGACCTATGAGTAAAAAAATCACCTGTGGGTATACCTTGCCACTTAACTCCAAGGCAGCCTTGCCTGACAACATTGGCTGTACAGAATTTATAACCTTGTCTACGGAGTTGATTAAAAAACTTTCAAAAACCCATCCAGCCTGCTGACCTGTTCCCACGTCTGTGCCGGATTATCCCGTCAGCTTGGCACAGCAGCTGCTCACACTACCCCCCGCCCCGACCCCCAGCGGCATCCTGTTACCACATAACCACCCGGTGACTGTTCATTTTAAGGGGATCAGAGGAGGAAAAAAGTACATAGGGTTTGCTACAAACCTACCTCCCTCCTTAACTTTCTTCAAGGGGCAAGTGTTCACCTTAGGGACAGGCAGCAGGATGGAGCGGTACTTTGTAGACTGTTACGCGCTGTGGGAGCAGGGATAGGTCTAGATTGTTTGTGGCTTCATCCCCAGCACCTGGCATAATGCCTGGACTACAATGGCCTCTCAGTAAAGGATCTGGCCAATGAATGAACCAAAAGGAGCTTTCCCGCAAGTTTGGTTTATCCTGGGATGCTGAATTTAAGTATCTTGAGTGAAGGGTTGATAGATTTGAGGGCCAGAAAGCAAAACTAGAAACAGCTTTTAATCTGTCAGTAAGTAAAGTAAAATGAGTATGGCTTTACAGGTCATGTTTTCTGTAGAGCACTTCACTGACATCATTTGCATTCTTCCATTTCCTGGTTTTGTTTTTCCTATTAAAGCCTTGTACTAGCAGCACTGCAAGTAGTGTTATGGGCTTATCCTGTAAAAGGGCAGTGAAGGAGGGCTGGAGGGGAAACGGGTGGACTAGGCGAGTTTGTTCTCTGTGCCCCGGGTTCCTTTTCTACATCCACGTGATGGAAACATCAGGATTTTGACATGAGCACCCCTGATTTTGCCTCAGCAAATTTGGTGTGTCTGGTAGTGGTGTGTGTGTGTGTGTGTGTGTTTAGGGGGCAGACGGGGTATCTTTCCTTTACCTGATCCTTTAATTCCGACAGCTGGCCGGAAAGGTTAGTGACCAGCTTCATGGTGGACTCCAGCTTCTCCTGCAGGTTCCTCAGCTCATTCTGCTCTCCCTCAGAGTCACTGCTGACCAAGGACATGGCTCTCATCCTGGGGAACCAGTCAAGGTTTCTTTCCTAGAATCCACATAAAAAAAAAAAAATCATTTCTAGGAGTAGAGACAAGAAGGGCAATCCCACCATGCTATCTTTTCTTTGTGACATCTTTCATAAGGCTATCTCTGTTGTTACAGAATTAATGTGCTGTGCCTTTTAAAAAACAGTAAATATCTTTCTAAATTGATAATCTTTTTTTAAAAGATTTTATTTATTTATTTGTCAGAGAGAGAGAGCACAAGCAGGGGGAGTGGCAGGCAGAGGGAGAAGCAGGCTCCACACTGAGCAGGGAGCCCGACGCGGGACTCGATCCCAGGACCCTGGGATCATGACCTGAGCCCAAGGCAGACACTTAACTGGCTGAGCCACCCAGGTGCCCCGTCATTGAATATCATTGAACTCTCTCAATTCTTAGAAGTCACTTTCGACTTAAATACAGTGCGGGGGTGGGGGGGTGCGCCTGGGTGGCTCATTCAGTCAAGATTCTGGCTCTTGGTTTCCACTTAGGTCATAATCCTGGGGTCCTAAGATCCAGCCCCATGTTGGGCTCTGTGCTCAGCAAAGAGTCTGCTTGAGATTCTCTCCCTCTTCCCCTCCCCCTCCTCCCTGCTCAGGTGCTTGCGCTCTCTCAAAAATAAATACATGAAATCTTTAAAAAAAGAACTAAATACAGGGGAAAAGGTAGGTTTCCGAACAACTTCCCTAATCTGTAAATAGGAATGCAGCCACTGCATTACAGGGCTAATGAGTGGTGGGTGGTAAAATATATAGAACATGAAATTTTCCATTGAAGTCGTTTTTAGCTGTACAGCTCAGTGTTATGAAGTGCATTCACACTGTTGTGTAACCATCGCCACCGTCTACACCTCGGGAACTTTGTTCATCTTCCCCATCTGAAACTCCATCCCCATTCAACACTAACTCTCTCACCCCTGCCAACCATCATTCTATTTGCTGTCTCTATGAATCCAACTGCTCTAGATACCTCATACTGTGCTGTGTATTTTTAAAAGCATTATACTTGGAAAATCATTTGCAAACACTCTGGAAGTGAAATGAATTTTGAGATCCCAAGTGTTCTGGCATTTACCGGATATGCGTATGTGCGCTTTCACTTGGTAGGGGATTGTCAAGAGGCTGAAAATGGGGAATGGGCTTCTTGTTCAGTTTCCCTCGTTGTCAGCTTATGGAAATTACTGCTCTATTCTTGTTTCCTTTTCCTTCCAGCTTGACATCGTTGATAGGTGCTATTAGTTGGTATAAGAAAGGCCCATTCAGTCTCCATCCTTTCTTTTGTTATCTACAGCTTATACCCGAAAAACAGTTTTTCGCACCACTGGTTAACCAATGGGCCAAGACTCCTCCTCCCAGCTCTCTTCCTTGCGCCCACATATGCCTTTCTCCTAAAAAGTATGCATCACAGATAAGTTCTGTACAGGGAGGCAGGAATGAATAGTAAAATCTAATCAGCACAAGATAAGGGGAACAAATGGACTCCAATCCACATCTATCTGGTGTCATTTCTGACCGGGGACCATTTTGATCTCATCAAGATAAACCGTAATTGACATTCTAACACAAATCTTGCCCCTCCCCTCACCTTCTGCCAGTACATACCACACCACACACACAATTATTGCTACTTTGTGTACACTAGAGGTCAGCAAAATTTTTCTGTATAGTAAATATTTTCTGATAGTAAATATCTTTGGCTTTGTGGACCATATGGTCACAATGACTCCACTACTGTATCCTGAAAAGAGCCACAGGCAATACATAAATGAATGAGTGTAGCTATAAATAAAACTTTATTTACAAATTCTGGTGGCGGCAGGTTGGGTTTGGCCCATAGGCTGGAGTTTTGCCAACTGTCATACCATAGAAGGCATCAACGTACTTAGAATCAGATACAAAATCCCACAAGACATGTCTAAATGTTAAAAAGCAACCAAGACAGTCTAGCAATATTGAAGCCAAATGAGAACTAGTTGAAAAATACTACGGGAGCGCTTGGGTGGCTCAGTCATTTAAGCGTTTGCCTTTGGCTAGAGTCATGATCCCAGGGTCCTGGGATCTCCACTCAGTGGGGAGCATTGGGCTCTCCGCTCAGCGGGGAGCCTGTTTCTCCCTCTCCCTCTGCCTGCCACTCCCCCTGCTTGTGCTCTGTCAAATAAGTAAATAAAATCTTAAAAATTACAAAGAATGCAGACCACATTGGCAACACGACATCACACCTACTTTAGAGTGTTGGCTTAAAACATCTGGGGAATCTGGTAAATAGGAACTCACTAGCCCTTCAGCATCATGAGTGCAGAAACCACCTTCGTATAGTAACCAGAACACAGTAGACACTTGATAAATATTTATGGAAGGGAGGAATGATAAACCATCTCTATTTCCTGCATGGGCCCTTAGAGCAAATGCTTAAATGGTGAACCTCAGTTGCTTAGAATGACTACCAGAGGAGAAAATGATGATCTCTACCTTCCTGTACCAAATATCCTGTGATCAGCACTTCACATGTAACTTAATGTTAGCCTATATTCATTTTCATCAATTTCCCACCATAGTACAACAGGCAAAAAGACCATTCGATAAAATATCCCATTTCAAAGATGACCGGCCTAAAAATCTAAGGTGTTTCCATGTCTGTAATCAGTTTTCTCCTGTGTGTCTACAGCAAAGCAGAGGAAGATAGCAGACATTTGAAAACATTTAAGCTTGGCAGTGCCACTGAAAGGCAGCTAAGGTAACCTGCCACTGATTATATTCACTGCTCCTGGGTCAGTCCTTCAGACATAGTCACACCTTCCCATCGAAGAAACATCCCATGTTCAGTGTCTGTCCAACTCTAAGGGAGGAATGAACCTAACTGTTCAGAAGAGGGCACCCCCAGGGGATGGGTGGCTGGGCATTACTTACTTGCACTGGGGCGAAGCAGCCTGTGTTGGGAGGAGAGAGCGTGTGGGCTGGGCTGATGAAACTATGAGCCTTTGCAAAGCATGAATGCAGTAGGATCACAGAGCATAGGACGGGACCGGCAATCAGAGGCCTCACCTGTCCACAGGGACTGCTAGCAATTTTTGCAGACTGACACCCGCCCCCCCCCCCCCAACCAGGAGGACTTGAAGAGGAAAGACCCAACGTCCTATTTATACTGTCAGACTCAGAGGAGCAGACACCATTGATTGGGATGTGACAGAATGTCATGCCAAGAAGGAGTTTAGAGATCACAGTCATAGTTGTATCTGTAGTGCAGAAAACTGAGCCCTGAAAGGGAAAGTCACTTGTCCTGGGGAGGGACCTAACAAATTCCTGTGTTTTACAGGGGACCCTGACAAACATCTGGTGCTAATGAATTGTAAACTGCTCTTATTGAGTATATTTTGGGGTGAAATATTTGCTAAGTCTTTGGATTCAAATCAAAAGTATAAGCATTTTGGCTCCCTGGAAGGAAATATTTTAAAAATATAACATATATTCAACATCTGCTTCGGGGGCACTTCCCTTATGTGCATGGTGTTGAGGAACCAGCAGTGAGTGAGTGAGAGAGAGAGAGACACACACACACAGTTGCTGCCTCCTGGACCTCTTTCAAGTGGAAATGGCCTTCAGACCTAAGTATGAGATAGGGTTCCTACCATCACAGCACTGTTGTTTAGTTAATGAGAGTGGACACAAACATTAAAAAAGAATGGTAGAAAGTGAGTGGCAGAGAGTAGGGCCAAAGTCAGAGCTAACTGGCAGTGAGGACGACTGGCCATGGCCCTGAAGGAGGGTTGGTGCTTGGCCAAACAAGGCAAGCATGAGGGCATTCTCAACCAAGTGGGGCCAGCACAGGGAGGAAACCAGTTTGGCTGGAGTGGGGGATGAGGGCCTACAGGTATGGGCAGCTCAGACTGTAGAATCCTGTAAAAGGATTGAAGTGTGGGATAGACCAGCGCAGGAAATAGCGCAGAATGAAGAGGGCCGGGGTCGGGGCTGGCCGAGGGAAGGAGGAGGCGAGAGGTGACCTGGAGTCCCTGTGGGCCTGCCTGATATGATGCAGGGAGAGGGACATGTGCAAGCCACTTCAGCGGGTAGGGTAGTGAGGACTCACCTGAAGCTACCTCACTACGGACGTGGGAAACTGCCTCATCAGGTTAGATAATGCATCTGAAGTCTAGCTCTAGCTAGTCCAGCTCTCAAATCTTGCAATGTTCCTTTGCTTAGCAAACCCCCCATAAAATAGAAAACACAGATTTCCAAATAGAGTTGACATTAATGAAGTCTTCAAAAGAATACAGAAAACTGATGTAAGAGTCTGCACACAGCTTAAAGCTCAAGCAACAGTTTCTTATCCGTATTCCAACAGCAAGTGACCAAATGACTACAGATTAAAAGAAGTTTTCCGTGGCAGGTTCCCACCTTCTTTCATGATATATTTGATTCCTAGACTCCTATGGAAGGATTTCAGAAAGGTCTTTGGACAAATGCAAAATGCACAGATTTCACTTAACTGTTTACTGAACATTTATAATTTCCGTGCCTGGCCTAGGGCTGAGGGTCTCAAGAAGAGCAAACCAGGTCCCTGGCCCCGAGGTGCTTTAGCACACAGACTGCAGTCAGGGGGCAGGTCTTGGGGCGTGGGCTGTCACTTCAGAGGGACTCCCAGGTTGTGACTGCCTAATGAGGACCTGCTGGATGAATGAATGAGGTCTGCTGGTAGTAGGATGGCCACTACTGGCATCCATGCTCCTCATCTCCATGGCTAAGAAGGTGCACTCAGACCCCCTTTGTTTTTGCTTTATTTGTGCTTCTGTGCATGAGATACCTGTAATCCTGGGGCAGGAAGGCCTGGCCCGAGGGTCTGTAACACCACAGACAGAAAATAAGGCATCTTTTTTAGAATGTCCATTTCATTCAATGGTAAATTACTAAAAATACTTTTATATTAAACTCAAAATAGGCCCTACAACAGAACATGAAATTGAATCAAATGTAAAAAATAAAATCCAAGATTTAAAAGAAATGTCATATTG